TTCTTGTCTCTGTCCTTCCTACAGTTGTCCTGGCTCACCCTTGCCATTAGAATGTGCCAAAGTAAGGGCTGGTCTTCCTGGGACAAGGCCCAAGGCAGTCCTTGTTACCCAGGAGTGTGGATGCCTCCACCATGGTGCCCTGTGAGTCTCCCCGGACACTGAGGAGCCTGTACCTGAAGCAGCAGCACAGTACTGTTTGCATCTTCCGGGCAGAGATCTGTCCCAGCCACCACCATGTGCCAGGGCTGACCTTACCTACAGACCAGGCACCCCCACTCTGCAGCTGGAAAAGCAGGGGTTCACAAGGGATTGGCATGCCACCTTTAGGCAAAGCCAGGGAATTCCCAGCAGTGCAGCTTATGAGGACCTAAATGCGCTTCCAGGCAGACCCAGGGGGCCCTAAAGACAAGTCATTTTCCCCTTGCCTTGGCTGGCAAATGGTTTCTGGAAGCTCACCCTCACACTCCTCACACAGACCCCACGAAGACAGGCCTCCTCCCTCTGACAGCCGGGCCTCTGAAGCACTGCTGCCCGTCCTTCTTTCATGGGTCTGTCAGCCTCTCCTCTGTGTCTGCTTTGGGTTTTCAAATTTCTGTGCTTAACAATCCACCTCTGTCCCCTATTCCATTTCACTGGGGCAGCAGGAGCTAAGGTTGAAGCAAATCAAGACATGGCCAAGAAGAAAAGCAAAGCACGTTAACAGGAAGGGTTGGTTTGGCACCAGCTCCGGTGTGCCCAGGCTGTCGGCACGGGCAAGGCAGGCTCCTGATGCCCAGGTGGCTCACAAAGCCACCCAGCAGCCATCCTTTACAGCTGGGCCAACGTGAAGCCACGCGGGCTGAATTCAGATCAATATAGAGACAAAACCCAATTCGTGTGAAGTCTCCTCCCTCTACAAATCCTTCAGTAACTGACCCTGATTCTGTTCATACCAAGTCATGTCTCTTTTTGCCAGAAGATGTGGCAAAAGGCACGGAAGGGATAATGTCTGGGTTGTGGCCTTCCACACTCAACCCAATTTCTTGCCATCCCTGCTAACATTCAAACCTGTCAGTCTTATAATCCTTGACTCAAGTTAACCATGAAAGAAAGACACACCAGGAAATGAGGCTGAATGACCTAAAATTTATTCCATTCTACTGAGCTAATCTCCTAAGAAGGGTGTGTATAAATCTTGCTGTCTCTGTTCTAGAATATGCAAACGGGGCAAAAAAAAAAAAAAATTGCACTGTGACTACAGATTTCAACTTGTCATGATTCGTCCTCAAAAGAAAAGCGACTAGTCCTAGACCAGGTTGCCTCACAGATCCTAAACAAGGTTCTTAAACATTTGGGAATTGGTATGCCACAAGCACCAACGCATGCTCAGGCCGACCACATCCGAATATTGTAGCAGAGGTACCTACCTGCCCTCTCGTCCTTTTCACGAGTGACAGCAAGCATGGTATGGATCTCTTGGGATTGCTGAGACCAGATGAGTGACGCTGTTGGCACGCCGTTTGATGGGTGCACATGCCACCCCCCCCAAATCCAATCAACTTTTGTTGCGTGTTAAGCAGCAATTGGCAAGACCAAGAGGAGGCTGGAGGCCCCCAAGTGGGATTCCATAGAGCCACTGGAGCATAGTCAAGTATCCCAAGCGAGAGAGAAGAGGGTCCCAGAGGAGTGCCAGGCAGCTGGTGGGCAGAGCTTTGGATGAGAAAGCCAGGCATCTGTGTGGGTGGGAGGACGCAGGGGCTTTGCCCCAGTCTCCCCTCATTAGCTCAGGCAGCTGCACCCCACCCTGGCCTGCATTCATGCCCACATGGAACTTCACAGTCTGACCTAGCACCCAGGACAGGGCCAGCTGCAGCTGGAGCGACCTGCTGCCCTAGGACTCGCTCATGGGGCGTTGCTACCTGGATTCACAACTCTGCCAGTGTAGGAACCACATTGTGAGCATATGGCTACAGGCTGAAAATTTCATACTTTAGGGATTTTTTTTTTTAACAAATGGGGAAAAGCAGAGTTCAGAAAATGTTCTTAAAAAAAAAACTGCTCTAGAAATTGAAACACTAACTGAATCTTGGTAATGTTTAAGGGATATTAGTAATTTTTAAGGTAAAATACTGTAGCTAACTGGCAAACTGGAATGAGCCTGATTTGGAGAGGTACATACTGAAACACTGATAGCAAACTGATGTGACCTGCTGTCTAGGAGGTATTTTATAGTAGCTCAGTGAAGGGAGAGAATGCAAACAGCAACAAAACTCTGGTTACTTGGCTGGGGCTGACACCACACCTGAGGCTGCTTGGTCATGGGCTGTGCTCCAACCCTGGGTTCATGTTTAAAATTCTAATAAAAATGTTTTTAGTTCATGAAAACTGAAACAATTTTAACTTAATGATTCTGGTCTTCCTGGTTCTTGCAACACAATATCTACTTCCTAAAGACAGGCTAGGGGAAGATCTGGCAGGTAGGAGGGACAGAGACAGGACAGACCCCACCAGGGGAGGGCGGAGCTCCCTTTTTCCTGTCTTTTTGGCGTGCTGGAGATTGACCGCAGGACGTTGCATATGCTAGACAAGTGCTGTTCCGCTGCACCACATCCCCAGCCTCCCGCCCCCCCCTCCTTTTTTTAGGCAGGGTCTTGCTATGTTGTTCATCCAGGCCTTGAATTTACTTTGTAGCTCAGGCTGGCCTCAAACTCACCATAATCAGGGACTGGGGATTTAGCTCAGCGGTAGAACATTTGCCTAGCAAACTGGAACCTCTAGATTTAATCCTCAGCACCAAAACAAACAAACAAAAAACAATAATAAGGGCTAGCGAGATAGCTCAGCCAACTAAGCGCCTGATGAGGCAAGCATAGGGACCAGGGTTCAATCCTTGGTACCACATTCTGAGCCAGCCCTGCCCCTGGATGCAGTGAGCTGGCACCAAGACCAGCTCACCTGAAATCCCAGCACGTCTGTAATCCCAGCGCTGGGGAGGCTGAGATAGGAGGATCATTATTTTTTTTTTAAATATTTATTTATTACATTTATTTATTGGGTGTGTGTGTGGCCAGCTCAGCCCACCAGGGGGCGGGTCTGGCTGGCATGTGGTGCTGGGGATCGAACCGCGGTCCCTGTGCTCTGCCAAGCTTGTTTCAAGTAGGTGCTTTAGACCACTGAGCCATCTCTCCAGCCCCAAGGAGGATCATTATGAGTCCATCCAAGCTTCATAGTGAAACCCTGTGCCAAATACGTTAAATAAACAAATAACTAAATTCACCATAATCCTCCTGCCTCAGTCTGGGATAACAGGCATGCACCACCACACTAAGCCCCTGACCCTTTTAAAATTTTATTTTGAAACGGTCTGCTAAATTGCCCAGACTGGTCTTGAATTTGCAACCTTCCTGCCTCAGCCTCTGAGTAGCTGGGATTAGAGGAATGACCTACCACATCTAGCTCAGGAAAGTTCCTTAACCCCCTTCCCCTGTTCATGTGAAAGCCAGAAGGGGAACTGCCCTCCAGGGCTTCCTGGACTGGAAAAATTCTTGAACTGGCCTGGTGTGCACATTTATACTGCTCTTAAGCACAGTGAAAATTATTTTTAAATTCATTTTAATGCATCTTAAATCAGTGAGCTTCCCCTCAGCAGAAAGCAGATAATGTACCAATTAGTTGGCTCTCAATCTTTCTTACCTCACTTCCTCCACCAGAAAAGGGAAGAATCAAAGGGCCCCACTGCTAGGTGAGGGTATGTCCAGTGCCTGCCCCTACTAAGCCATGCTACCTGGATCAGGAGGCTCCTGGATGCAGCGCCAGCCTCTGAAGACCACAGCAGGGAGTACCCCACTTGCAAATGCTTTGCTTCCTTTTTTTCTTTCCCCCTTCTTTCTCTCACTGTTCTCTCCTCTCTGGCAACACTGGGGACTGAACCCGTGGCATTCCTATGGAGCAAACACTTTCCTCTCTTCTGAGAGGGGATTCTGCTGAGTTGCCTAGGCTGGCTCAAACTTGCAACTCACCTGCCTCAGCTTCCCAGAATGCCTGGTACATTCCCAGGCATGTACCACCACATCCAGCCAGATGTTCTTCTTAAACATCAAAATTAAATAAAAATGAAAACAGTACTTCAAAAACTTTTTGAGTCAGGAATCTTGCCAGGTTCAGAGAAGTCATGGCTGTCATCTGCCCTGAGGAGTGCCTGCTCTAAAGGAATGGGCCACCTGGGGTGGAACCCACAGCTTCTGTCTGGCCAAATGAGGTAGAGATGAGGAGGGCACCTCCCTACCAACCCATGGCTTTGAGGGGCACAACACACCCTTTCCCCAAGGAAGCAGACCCATGACAGATCAACTCATTCCCAAAGATGGGCTTGGGGTTCACTAACAGGATGAAGGAGGAGAGCCCAAAGCAAAGCTGGAAAATTCTCAAAAGATCCTTGAGGAAATCTACTCTAGTCCCACCACGTAGACACCAGGAGTAAAACTCACTGTCCCCAGGTGAAAAAAGTTACAGAAAAGAAGGAATGTTGAGTGGATGTGAACCCTTCCCAAATCTTGTGATAGACGATGTAATTGGTAGAGATGGCATCTAGTGGGCAACACAGTATTGGAATGGTGGGCGCACGAGGAAAGTTAGCACAAAGGAGGCCTTGCAGTGCCTTTAAACAAGCCATGTTCAGCAGACATCCTTGTCCCCTCCTTGTCCCCTCTCCCGTTCTATACAGTAACATCAAAATTGGGTCATGTATGTTTTTCAAACTTTTGGTTAAACTTCTGTAATAGCCCCCGCCTACCTTAAAGAAAAAAGAAAGAAAGAAAGAAAGAAAGAAAGAAAGAAAGAAAGAAAGAAAGAAAGAGAAAAGAAAGAAAAAGGTACTTGGGCTTTGGGACCTTTGAAATATGCTGGCGAGATTATCCTAAACTTTAAAAGGCCCCGCTGCAGAGTCAGGTCAAATCTCTGCTGTTTATTAGGTCTGTGACACCGGGTAAGTGACTTCACTCGACTGGCTTCCTCCTCTGCAGGATGAGGCTACAATAAACTTAGCACAAGCTCCTCCTCAGCCCCATGGACCTGCGTTGCCACTAACCCCAGGGGGTGCTAGAAACCAACGGGCTGCAACGCGGGAAGGCCGCTGAGGCCAGTGGAAAGTTTTCACGGAAACCCGCGCAGAATGCCGCTGGCCACACAGGCCTGGAGCCCCGCAGGTCTGCATGAGAACGTCCCTGCTGGAGGCCAGCAAGCCGCAGAGGGTCTGTGGCGTCTGGAACCGGAATGGGTTTACCTGATTTTGACCTAGAGAGGGGCACAGAAAGGGGGACGGCTGTTTTGTTGTTTGTTTTGTTGCAAGAAAAGCAGAGGCCATCCCGCAAATCCAGCTGGTCTTGCTAGTGGCTGCCGGTGGGGGACAGGCTGAGGAAAGCCGCCCTTCCCAGGCCAGCCCCTGCGCCTAAGGAGCTGGAGCCCAGCCCCACAGCAGGACTGGGCTCTCTGCACAGGGAGGAGAGGGTTAAGTTGGCTCTGGGCTCTGCAGCTATAAACATCGAGCCGAGGGAGGGAGGGAGCTGACACAGGATGTGGCCTGGGCTCGAGCTGTCTGATTATTAACTTCACTTTTATTTAGAGGGGGATTCGATTCTCTGTTTTACTTCCCATCAAGGAAGTGAAAGCCCAGGTCTCAGAGGGGCCTGGTTTCAAATTGTTTTGTCACAGCTCATTTATTTTTCCTCTTAAATAAATAAACAAAAGCACCTCTTTGTTTTCCCCTTAATGAGCATTCAGCAGATCCTCTGTGGGGGAGGCATGAAAGGAGTTTTTGGGAGTCCTTCCCTGGACCAGCTTTTGCTTAGTCTTTCAAAGGGAAAAAGAAAGCACCCTGCTTTGGCCCTTACTCTTCTCAAAGGTGCTAAACACCTTTCTTTTCTGTCTCCTTATAGGATCCCCAGCTAGACCTCAAGCCCAGCAAAGGCCCTCACGCAGAGGAAGCCCCAAGCCCGGTCCCACAGGAAACCCCAAACGTGGGCCTCCGTGGTTAGTCTTGGTTGGGCTCAGACCTATGGTTTGATTTCCTATGGCACCCTGACATTTCCACTCAAAATAACTTAAGCGCAATTAAACACACAAAAGGATTCCATTACAGAGCTTAAGAAAACACTATTACATGTTCCACTGCCCAAGGTTGAAAACATTTGAACACCCAAAACTGTGTTTCCTACACCCAAATCCTGGTTAAAACCCATTCAGTAATTTCGCGCTTCTCCTGGTGTAGGTCGCTCGGCAGAGGTCCCCAAGGCCGGGACACATGGGTCCTGCCCAGATGGGGTCCCCTGTGCGGGCTGTGGAGGAAGCGACGACGACGACGCTGCTGGAGACAGAAGTGGGGAGCTGGGGGCGACTTCCCGACGGAGCTCTGATTTTGTCAGGCTTGATCTTGAAGGACAAGAGAGAATGTCACCATGAAAGAATATTCTAGAACCCGGCCCGCCGCCAAATGGTGGGCGTCATCGGCGTGCACGTTAAGCCAGACCAGGGCCCAGAGACAAGGGCGCTGCCCGCAGGCAGGACGCTGCCGGCCCGAGGTGCCCCCGGTTCGCAGGCATCCCCCCGCGCTGCGCGGCGGTTCGGGCCCCGGCCGGCGCCATCATGGCCGCGCGTCACGCGGGCTGCCGG